CCTAACTATATATATATATATATACACACACACACACTCCAATGATTATTCACTCTTGAGTTCATCCATGATTAGATGGGATATATATTTGAAGAGAACTTCTTGATCGACCAACTAAGTGAAATATTTCAATAATTCACTGGCTATGTGGGTCAATTATTATATAAGAATCATATTCCATCCTTTTTTTTATTAATATACATTGTACTATTATTCAAATCCCTTTTTCTCTCATCGATAATACACGCATCCTTATCACACACATAATTTTATATACGTTTCACTTCTTACATTTACTCGAAACACGTATTCCATTCGAATCTTGTAAAATTGATATTTCCTTAGTAGCGAAGAAATGCCTCAAAGATTTATAAGTAGATGCGTTCAAAAAATTCCAGTCGTTTTCATATATATATATATATATATACATATTATGTATATCATAATATATTATATATGTGTGTATTTAGTACTAATGCACTTTTTTATTTCCGCGTTTTTGTTTCCGTAATATAGCATGCTTGCTCGTTTGTCCATGCACAAACAAGTGGCAACTATTTTTGTACCGTCTTAACCAACTAAAAAATAAACACATAATTGAACATATTTATCCTTCTAATTTACATAAATAATTGTTTAAAAAAATTAGTGGTTCGTTTGTTTTAAAGATTTGAATAGTAGTTTAAATTAAGAGAAAATACAGTAGTAAAAAGATTTAAATTATGATTCAAACTATGTATAATATACAAATTTGAAATTCTGTCCAAACTACATACCATACACATGATAGTTAAGAATATTGAATTGAGCAAAAGTGATTTGAGGAAATATTTGGTAGATACGAAGTTAATAAAGGGAAAGACAAGTACTGATAAAGAAGTTTGAACTAATTAGAAAAGGAGGAAGTTATTGAATATTATAAACATTTAATTAAGCTGAGAAAATTAACACTGCAATATATGAATAGGCCAACGCCAAAGCCATGTGGGCATCCAAAGCAAATGGCTAACGAAAAGTAAATTAAAGTAGCTAGGGCTTAGCTTATAATAAGGAGGAAGGATCGATTTGGTGTGGGGTTGAGATTTTACATGGGTGTGCGTGTGCAAGAAAAGTTAGGGTTTTTTTTTTTTTTTTTTTTTTTTTAAATTTTTTTAGGATGCTTGCCTACCATATCTTCTATCGACCCTCTCTGTTTCTCTCAATGTTTGTTTTTGTGATTTTCTCTTCCTTTCTTTTCTACTTTTCCTCCTTTTTCTAATTTTCTTAGTCAGCTTAGAAACAACGCATTCTTTGTATCCCACACATTTCCTTTTCTTTTATGCCAAAACCCAAAAAGTAAGCACTCATATGATTGTCAAAAGCCACTTATCGTAGGCCCTCCATTAACAAAACAAGACACTACTCATTGGTGTCCCTTCACTCCCTTATTGCACAAGTCTCTCTCTCTCTCTCTCTCTCTCTCTCTCTCTCTCTCTCTTTCTCTCTCTCTCTCTCTCTCCTTTTCATATATTTGGATGGGGTGTTATGGCTCCACAAAGGCTTTGCATGAATGAGTTGGCTAGCCTCCAATGCATAGCGCTCGTTTCTCTTTATCCCTTCTTCTATTATCTCCATCTATAAAACCCATTTCTTTTCTTTCTTTATTGTGGAAAATCTTCTACGGTCAACCCAACATTCATTTATCTCTTGTCGTATTCATCCTTTTTTCTTTCATTTTTGGGTATTTCTTTATCTTCAAAATATCGAGTTTGGTTTTGTATATTTTTGTTTTTTTCCATATGCATTATTTCATAGTGACCTCCTAACTGCAAAGTACGTATATGAATATGTCTTCTTCCATGATTAATCATGGAAGCGTGTACAATATCGAGCACGTAAGAATTTTGTTAGAGCCCTTTAATTTGCGTATATTTGTGTCTCAAATCCATTTAAATGAGGAGAAATTGCTAAGCATATTTTCTATAAAAATCTAGAATTTTAATGGTCAAACTGCCAATAAGATTTTTTATTTTTTATTTTTTATTTTTTTTTTTTTTTTGTACTTGGTAAAATACTCTAGTTGTATATAACTTAATTAATAAAATACATGCATATGGTGGACGTTTATATCATGTATAAAAACAAATAGATAAGTACTAGGACTAGATGTTGTCATGTGGCAGATGATATGTTTAGTTAAATTGGGGTTTCTTCCATCATTTTGTGGAAAAAAGGGTATAAAATACACAAATAATTAACTTTTGGGGTAGACATTTTTGGGTTAATTCCATTTGTCATATTTGATATACACAGGTAAGGCCAAGAAGATAAGTTAAAAAGGATTTGCATGAAATTTTAAAAGGGTTGGCAATCTCTAGTTTGGACCATCCATGTCCTTTGAGTGGTTGGTTGCCAATTGGAGATATAATTGGTGACAACTTTTCTTCAATTATTTTAGTCCTTTCGGTTATATGATAAGAGATTGACTTTTGTTCTTCAATCATCATCATAATTCATAGTTCACACTCACACGGTGCAGAAAAAAGTTGACAAGCAATCATATAAAATTCAATTTATTATATACTTAGAAAATTATCTTCTTATATTAAAACTAGTGAAGGTGGGGAATTTGCGAGGGGCCTTGTTCCAATAAGACCTTCTTTTGTCTCCCTCGACTAAGGTTGACATATTTGAATGCATGCATCACTTTCAATTTTGAAGTGATTAAAGATTTAATGGGTCAACAACTTTGGAGCTAAATCATTATTGGAAATGGGAAAAAAATATATATTATTAAGTCAAAAAAGTTAGGTGCCTTAGACATGGCTTTGCCCACAGATGGAAGTTGTTCATTTGTTTTTGTTTCGACTTGGCATTGGTGTGGCCCAAAAGGTTGTGTAATGTGGAAACATTATCATGATTCATGACAGCAAGATATTTAATTGTGGGATGGAAATTAATTTAGTTTATTAGAAATAAAGGTATTATTAAAAATTTGATTACCAGTACTGCTAACTTTAAATTGCAGCTCAAAATGCTGTGGCAGCGGAATTTCTAGTGGTGAAAATGATCGCAAAATATGGATTAGACAAAAACGAGTTAACAAGATTTTTGATCAGTTAAAAGATTTGTTTTTTTTTTTTTTTTTTTTTTTTTTTTAAAAAAAAAAATAAAAAAAAGGGGTTTATAAAACAAAAAACTAAAGTAAGGGGTTTAATTACCAACCAACAAAAGTCACCAATTGTTAGAATGGTGGGTGGCATTATAAGTCATTATCTTAACCACCAAGTTAATTATGATAAGATAGAATACTTGTCATTGATTATCAAATAATTCTCATATTTTGAAACCCAAAATGGATTATTGATTTGCAAAATCATGGGTTTTCTATTACAAACAATTGGTAAACTGGAAGTGAAGTGCCAGCTCAGTTGAGTTTGAATGAACTTTGAATACGTCAAATTTTCTTTCATGTCGAACGCAAGGTCTAACCTTTAATTATATGATCCATGAAATCGATCTCTTTACTCAGACGTTTGAAAAAAATAAAAAATAAAAATCTAACTTTTCTCGATGACTATTCAAGTACTGAAATTGTCTTCTGTGGACCCATTAATTTGATGCCCGTTTACTACAAAATGTATTTCGTAAATACAAAAGAAATTGATGATTCTTTGGGGACAAAAAAAGGTGAATAAATTCTGTAATTGTTCTAGTACTACTGGGAAAAAATTGAAATGTTTTAGAAATCAATAGTACTTTGAAAATAGAAATAGCAGTTTTCTGAAATTGTTCGTCACTTCCTTTTGAAATACTGTCGTTTCTGCAGGAAAGAACATGCTATTTGTCGTTCATTTATAAAAACGACATGCCTTTTGAATCAAAACTTTGAACGTTTCAGTGGGAAAACGACATGTCACTTATTCTATAAAGCTCGTGGTCTTTTAATTTCCAAAATGACAAATTTTATTTTAGTTCCATGTTTAAGAACGACAAAGTTTGTTGATGTTTGAGCAGTAAACGACATGTGTCATTTTAGACTGGGCCGTGTTGTCTGCATAGCGCAGCATATTGTAATTGTTTACAGACAAATATTCAAAGGATGCCATTGTTTACATCTTCGCAAAAATGACATGTTTTACTTTCTAGTATTAACGGAAAGTCATTTATATTAGGTAATATCATTTGTTTGTACAATGACATGTCATTTATACATTGGGCACTGTCGTTTTAGTAGAAAATAACACGATGTTTTCAAGTCGTTTGATTTGAGGGTTTTTTTTTTTTTGTCTTTTAAGTAAAAACGATGTGTGGATTCTCAGTTATCCTGTAAGGTTTGTGTCTACAATTAGTTGTCGTTTAAGCTGGAGGACATAACAAATATTCGTTGTCCGTGATAGCATGTATAAACGACATGTAGTTTCTAACATTAGATGTCATTTGCGGGACAGAATCTTAAACAAGAGTGACATGTCATCTAATCCAAACGATATGGCCTTTTTATGAAAGAACATTAATCAATGTGTCCTTGGGAATCTTAATTTCCCGTCATTTCAACCAATAGTTATCAAATGTTATATTTGTCTTATTCTATACTTAGCCAAAAATTTATAACGAAGTATAACATATAATAAATTTGACACAATAAATATATTTAATAAACATATGATAAATTTGACACAATAAATACCATTGTATTAAAGAGTGTTTTTACACTCAAATGCTAAATTTGTAATTTGATAAATAAGTTATAGTATTGCATTATAGATGCTTTTAAACACGCCATGGAATTGCCGTACAACCAATTGGAGCATATCGCGCAAATCTTGCATTCTTCTTACATGAGGAACAACGATATGTAGTTCACCTAAAAAAGACATGTCGTTTATATTTTAGAATTTGCTGTCGTTTGTGTGAAAAAACGACATGTCCTTTCCTGTTTCACGGAATAAGTGGAGTTTTTTATAATGTATTCAAATTTTTCTACAATTATCCACCGTTCATTTAATAACTACCCAAACTTTTCTCTCCTCACTTTTATTATTCAAAGAATGATGTAATGGGTCTTTAACACCAGCACTATTCTTTTATTACAGAGATTTTTCTAATAAATAAATCAACGTTACAATCAGGCCTAGCCGTAAAATGGGAACAAAATATAACATGACAATGAGAACAAGACTTCTAAATGAAAAAATAAATAAAAAGTCGATTAAAAAAGAAGAAGATGATGATAGGGACTTGTCTCAGTAGCTATTACAGACTAGTATAGATACGAACAATCTGACCTCTGGTGAGCCTGAACTACAAGCGAGAAGCTGGAAAGAAGGGTCTAAAAAAGTGCTTTCTCTTGCTAGCACTAGCCAAAGAGATCTCAACGTCCTTTGAGATAATTGTAAGAAATAAGATTTCTTTCAGCTCCATAATTCTAGTTTATTTTGACTGCTCCGACCATCCAAAAATGAGAAGAACCCAGAAAACTTTTCCCATGTAACTTCACTCGCTGATCATTATTCTAGCTTCTTTGCGATTCCACCTTTACATTTGACCATTATTTGAATCAAACTCCATAAAGTGGGAGGAAGATTTTGACAAAAGAGTATGCGAGTGCACCGGTAAACATATAACTGTCCACTCTATCTAGTATCCCACCTGCATTAAACGCTAAAAGTTAAGAGGAGCGTAAAAACGATTCTAGATCTTAGTTATACGATGTAAATTTCACTGCAAATCCAAAAGAAGAAAGAACATAGCTTATCATGAAATAAATTGAAGGTGTCCTGGATAGAGTCTCAATAAAATAATCATAAGGAGGATAAAAGATAAATATAACCATGAGAGAAGGGCAATTATTAATTACCATGTCCTGGTATTAGAGATCCTGAGTCCTTAACACCCGCATCGCGTTTGATCATTGATTCAGTAAGATCACCAAAAACAGACCCGAAGAAATTGAGAAACCCGAAAGCTATTGCACTGAAAACAATCCAAAAGGTGCAAAACCAAATTATATAAGAATAGTCAAGATGTCAAGAAAGAGACGAAAGAGAACCCTCTTGGAAAACATATGTTTAAAATATGAAAACTGTGGGAGATTGTGTACCTAAGCAAAGATTTTGGCCAGCAAAGAACCCTCGACAATACGACAGAAGTGGCTATACAACCGCCCAAGCCTACAATAGTTCCCTCCCATGTCTTCTTTGGACTGACACTGGTGAGCTGCGTTCTTCCAAATGCCTGCAATAGAACATAAAACATATAGCTATTTTGGTGCTTCATTTAGTCATGGACACTTCAAATATTACGAATAAACAAGTTCTCTGCACATTGTTTCTCTGGTAAGAGTCAAAAAAAGAAATTCCCTTAAACAACAAGAAACACGAGTTTGACGAGTTATAAACTACATTTAGTTTGCTTCATCAAGATATTTCTGCAAAAACTGTGACTATAGAGAAGAGAACACAGAGGTGCAGCAGATCAAGTTGAAGTGCCTAAATACCTTGCCTCCCAGAAAAGCGAAAGTGTCCGCTGCAATGATGCTGCTGAAAGAAAGTAATGTTGCCACAAGACCTACTGTCCAGTGAGTATGGCCGCCAAAAAGAATGGGCCATGATGCTCCTATTGCTGCCAAAAAGTGTACATAAAATAAAGTTATACAGAGAACACAAGCAAAAATTGAAATCATGGGCACATGCACGGACATAGATAGCCGCATAGAACAGCACATCCATCACCACAATTCCACATAACAGTAATCTTTGCAGTGCCTGTTTGATGAGTCTAGAAAATTTTTTAAGCATACCAATCCAGCTCCTTAGTCCCCTTACCAGTGTTTAGAGCAGGAGCTGCTAGACCACATCGAAGCTTGACCCAGAAACAAGGAAGATATCCACAATAAAATAGCCCAAACACAGCACTACTAAGCTGTGCAAAACGAGGGTTCCCTCTCTGCAAAAGCAGTGCCGCAGCAAGGACAAAGGCAGCAGATGTCACAGAGACATCAATATGACCAAAATACCTGCCCAAAGATTGGAAACACAAATCAGCATCTAATATCTATCACCTTACAAACCTCTAGGTGACGCCTATGTTAATGCCAATTAAACTCATACTAGTTTGTTAGTACGGCATAAGCCAACAGCCCTTTCACTTGTTACATCCTGTCTCAACCTTTCCCATTGTTAAGTTCTGTATAGTTGCATAAGAAAATAATAACAAAGCCAACAAAACACAACATCACTGGGCATGTTACTCATCATACAATGTGAGTATGGGCATGAGAGCACAGCTAACAGAGCAAACTTGTGAAACATATTGAGGAGGAGGCGTCATTCCTGCAGCGATTCCACGACTCCTAACCAATTCAAAGTACTCCTGTGCACCAACAAAGACGGCGGCAGCTAAGGCCACAGTGAATACCCATCCTCCAGCCAGCACAACACCCCCAACCGTAATTCCTATGCCAAGTCCGAAAACAATTCTTTTCTTCAACTGACTTGGTTTCTGTTGGCGCTCTGACGCAATATCCTCCTTCATTGATATTGTTTCCCCTTTGTCAACTTCCTACAACACACCCATTTCAGCATATCTTTTCAATATACAAGTGTGCTATCAAAATACAGAAATTAAAGTTGCAAACAAGTCCAATATGAGTGAACTCCTCAATCCTTTAAATTTCACCTTTTTTACATCGATCATTGCAACATTAAGCGAAGAATTTTAGAAAATACATAAATCATCACAACTCCATTCCATCAATAGGAAGAACATTAAGTTATATACTTTAAAATTTCAAACTTCCTAAAGCACAACACATTTCAGCAAATCCTTTACACTATACACGTTTGCAACCAAAATATAAAAACAAAAGCTGCAACTAAGTTCAATTTAACAGAATTCCACCCCCCAAAATTTATACGCAAATTTTCCATCAATTAATTTGCAACAATATCTAAACATTCCTATAATAACATAGAAATCCCAACTTTTCCTATTCTATCAACTTTTCTCTCAACCAACCTGCTGGGCATTGTCCTCATCGACCCACTCAGGTTCCGCCCGAGCCACGGCGGCGATGACTCGCCGGTTCGCCGATACGACGCCGTTTCTTCTCAACCTAAACCCATATTTGGTTCTACTCCCGTCAAGGACCAGACCAAGATGGCTGAGTTTGGAGGGAGGCCGAGTCAGGATTACGGCTTTGGAGGGAATTGGACGACATGGGCAAGCGCAGAGAAACGAGAAGGAACAAGGGGCGAGCTTGTGTTGCTCGATTTTTGAGCAAGAAGTCGTCGCCGTCGTCGCCGCCGCCATTAGAAGGTGGAATTCGGAGGCCGGGTTCTTCAAGAGCGTGCTGATGATGATGAGTCGTTAATGGTTGACTTTGTGGACATTGGGATTCTCTTCTGGTTCTGCTGCCACACCACACTGATGAATTTGCACACAGCGAGAGAGAGCAGAGAGAGAGAGAGAGAGAGCAAACCTCCTCGGAGATCTCGATGAGATTTTGTTTGAGGATTTTTCGTTAATTTTATATTTTTGGAAAAAGGATTTTTCGTAAATCAATTATTTAATTGGTCCCTCTCAAAAAAAGTTATTTGATTTCCTAATACTTTTTTGTGGGTGCTTTTTAGACTTTTGTAGATGATGAGACATGTAAAACCAGTTTAATTAGTTAATTTGAGTTAAGATATAACTTTATATAAAATTTTTTTTATTATAGTAAGAAAGTTAGAGTTTTTATTATAATAAAATTTAAAATTTAAATTTAAATTGGTAAAATGAATGCGGTCATATATGTTTTAAGACAGAAAAATTACTTTGACAGCCACTGGATTTTTGAAAAATTACAAGAGATCCTGTGGCCATAAATGAATTCACATTTAAACCCCCTTCCATTGTTGAGGTTGATGGAAATATGCTTGTTAATGAATAATGGTCAAATATTTATAAGACAACTACTAAGACACCTTAAAAAATGGATTGGAACCTAATCATAGAAAATTCTATTAAAAATATGATTTTTATTAAATTAATGTTGTTCTTTAAACTAATTTATTAAGATACTTCAATTATTTTCTCTTAAAATAAATTAGCAATCAGTCTACCTATGCTGAAGTCTCAACACAAATTTCATTTTCTCATCCTCAATTGAAATAATAAAAAGAGTTTTTAGTACTTTCAGAGACCAAACTGCCGCTTCTTGAAAATATAATAATCAATAAACTCTGATGATTATTGCAGTAAAGGGACATATATTAGTATGTCTGGGTTAGACGATAGATTGTAAAACATTTGGAAGTCATCCAGTAAATAAAAGTAATATAGAGGATATTTTGCAATTTCGATAGAAAATAGGGGGTTTCAGTATAAGTTTTTCTTTTTAAAGCAACTAGTCCGTAGAAATATTTTTCCATTTGTGCCTTCTCTCGCAGTCGTACGGTGAATTAAAGTACACGCTAATTGGCAGAAAAAAAAGAAAAAAAAGAAAAAAAAAAAAGAAAGAGGGAAAGCGTAACCCAATATGCGCAAGCGCGATTCCTCAGATTCTGATTCCTCAGAAGCCCATGAGAGCTCGAGTTCCGAGGAAGATGGAACTTCCGGTGGTCGGAAAACCCAGGTCGAAAAGGGCGTGTCGGAGTACGAGAAACAGAGGCTGTCGAGAATTGCGGCGATCAAGGCCAGAATGGAGGCTATGGGTCTTCCCCAAATGGCTTCCTCTTTGATGGGTTCGGCTCAGAATTCTACGAAAAAGATGAATAAGGGAAAAGCCAAGGGTAAGGATGATGATGATGATTATAGACCTGAAGAGGAGGGTCCCACCTCTTTTAGTGAGGAGGAGGAGGAGGAAAAAGATGATCATGATGATGATTATTTGGGTGGAAAGGCTTCTGGGTCTGGCAAAAGAAAGGTATGACCTTTAATGTTGTTATGACTTGTCTAGTGTAAATTTTTGCAATTTAAGAGCTATTTATTTATTTTACGTGGATACAATTTGACATGATTAAATGGCATTTTTGATTGATATGAATGTTGACATTGTAATTGTCGTGTATGATGCATCTATTGGATGTGAAGAAGTCTGCGTCCAAAAAGGTGAGGAATACAGTTCCAAAGTCTAAGAAGAAAGTTGCTGTTCGAAAGATGTCAACTACTCCAGATTACATTGACGATGATGATGCATTGAAGATGGTAAATTTCTATAACTTAATTAATGCTTTTGTTTTTCTTTCTTTAATTTAATAGAATTTGATGAAAATATAACGGTCTAAAACTATCAGTGGATCTACAGAGGATTAACCAATAATTATTTATATGGTTACTGATTGATCTTAATGATCCTGTTTGATTCGCAGGCCATTGCTCTTTCACTACAAGATAAAGATGGTGGGACTTCAGGGAGCTCTGATAGGGTCAGTGCTAATGTTAATGAAACAAAGGGAAAAATGCAGACCAAGGAAGATGCTTGGAATAAGAAGAGAAAAAAATCGGTTAGTTTTTCTTGTCATTTCTTATTCCCTCCTTTCTCCTGGTCATAACTCTTCTAACTATATCTTGGTTTTCTTTAACTTTCGGTGAATAGTTTGCTAGTAGGCTGCAGATGACTGAGGATGAACTTATTCTCCACTTTTATCAATTTGATGGTAAATCACTAAGTCACAATCTTTCTTTTGTGTATAATATTGTGTCTGAATTGAAAATGTTGCATGATTTAGCCCGAGTGCTTTGGTGGTTTTCTTTTGGTGATGATTTTTTGATCATATTGATGAGAAAATTCTTGGCACACAGAAAATTGGAATGATGGGATTTCTGTGAGAGATCTAGAAAGAGTAGCCAAGGCTCATGACTTTACTTGGACAGACGAGGAATTATATGATATGATTCGTTGCTTTGATAGTGATGGAGATGGAAAGGTCAGTGCCTGTACTATCTTTAAATTCTTCCTTTTTCGTTTTTGGTTTTGAACTGAACTTGTTTTGTTCATACATTTTGCCATGTATTGCAGCTGAGTCTTGATGATTTTCGGAAGATTGCCGTACGTTGTCGCATGATAAAAGGGTGTGAAGAACCCTAATGCTTCAAAAGTACATGTCAATTATTACCACATGATGTAAAATCTTCTTTTCTTTTTCTTTTTTTTTTTTTTTTTTTTTTTTTTTTTTTTTTTTTTTCATGTAGGAACTTCCATAATATGGCTTCCGGTTGACTTCTTTCGCCTGGATTATGGCTTGAGCTGAAAATATTATCAAATTTCAGAGAGTTGATATCACGTGTTTTGTTGTTAGCAGACATTTTCTTCTTTGTTGGCAGTCAAATTGAGACTCTTTCATCAACTTGTTAATAACATTACACCATCAAGAGTTAAAGACATAGTTTGCATCACTCATAACAGTTTGATAGTTTAAGATCCTTGAGACATTCTAATCTACGGACATATACACACAAAAAAGAGGACCTCACTTCGTTTGAAGTGATTTTTTTTTTTTTTTGGATTGCTTGGTATTTGGCAATTTAAAAAACCCATCTGAGCAAGTTCTTGAAATGTCATTGCCTGCTAATAAATAAAATAAGCAAAAAGGGTCACACATCCAGATGTTCTCTAATGCCATACACAACAGTTCTCCACTAACCAGTCACACATTCGTTTTTTCTTCTAGTTTTTTACATATCATTCATTTTCCAGCGTAGGAAACACCATTGAGGGGGGCAAGAGAAGCAACAATGTTGGTCATGTTTTCTTCAGGACGTACCCAAAAATAATGCCAAGGAAGGCAATGATAACAACATACATCAATGGGATGCTAGCGCGACTTCTGCTGTCTTCCCGCCTCAAGAGCTCCTGCACATGAGAACCTCAATGTAAGTCCACATAAAATTGTAGCAACGGGTTTCCCCAAACAAATCGTTCCTCCTCAAAATGCATTATTCTAGAAAGAAAAAATGAGCAGAGCTCCCAGCTCTTAATGTAGCAGACATGACAGCTCAAATGGAACGACTTTATTCGTTCTTTTAGGTTTTTAGCGTTGTTAGCCCCTGAACTATTAGCACCATAACAGTTTAATCCCTAAATTTTTCTTTGACCGGTTAGTCTAATTGAATTTATGTATTTTCTTTCTTTCTTTCTTTTTTTTTTTTTTTTTTTTTTTTTTGGGTTTTTCAATCCTTAACCATAAAATGAAGGTCATATTTTAAAATCTAATGAAGGTTAACAAGTGTCCGTGGCGTAATACCTTGAACTTTTACAGAAACCATTACATAAGGATAGAAAGGTTCTCTTTATCGCCCTTGAAAACTCTTGAAAATTACATCCTCTTGTAAAACTTCAAGTTTTTACGCGATGAAAACGTTACTACGTCCCTTAGATTTCAAGAGTCTATTTTCAATTCTAGGTTAGAGATCAACATTAGCCAAAAAAAAAAAAAAAAAACCAAAGAGGCAAAGCCCGATTGGGTAATATCATGTTAGTTCAAAGGAACATCAGTCGCAGCCAGATAAGGTTATCAATACAAGCATAAGACAAAATCACGTAAATAAAAGTGATTTTGAAGAATATCCATTTGGACCTTAACTACTAACAACAAAGTCCCTTACCAGTTCTTGCTGAAGCTTGTTATTTTGCTGAATTGCAGAGTTTTTCTCCTCCGTTAACTTTGTAATAAGAGCCCTAGCCTGAAATTCAAGATATTTTTATGGAGTGCTACCAATCAACTATATAGACAAGGAAAACTTAACATGTGCAATTGTTAATAAAAGAAGAAACATAGTCCAGTGTTTCTTTTTCCTTTTTTGAAGGCTACACAAGTACGTTATGTTGTGTGCCAGTGAACTACTCTAGTCTAAATAATAGTTCATTTCAAACCAATGAACTGCATATAAAATATCAAGAACAGTATAAATTATTGTTTAATAGCATACTTAAAAAGAACTGCATATGACAGAAGAAATAGTGTCAGCGTTTATCGAACTTTTCCACAGGAAGAAGAAGCCATATGAATGAATGTATGAAATTGTCAACTCAAGTTACAGAACAAAAGAGATAACTACAGCCAATCCAAAGCATAAAAAGTCTAAAGATGGAATTTGTTTGATACAAGAAAAGTATAATAAAATAGTTTAGAGAACAGAACGCTTTTTGAATTTCAAAACTTTGACTTCATAGTTTATAATATAAACAAATGTAAAACATGAATCATGCTCAAACAACTACCTAACAATCAATTGCATGCAATTTTTGACCAAATGCTCTCTTCATTGACTACCTCATAAAAAACGACTCTTGTTGGACTAAAGAAAACAGCACATTTGAAATAATGTAAACAAACCTCGGAAGAGTTCTCCTGAGTCTCAGCTCGCCCGGGTCGCTCAACGGAACCTCTTGAAGCCTACAAGATTATAAAACAATTCCAAATATACATATCAGTTTCGCTACTAATTGAATTAAGACCCTTGACTGAATTTGACATACAGATCCACAAAAATACTCACAGTAATACTAAAGTCAACAGAATTTGGAACCCCATTGTCTGATATTGAAGCCCTCGGCGACGAACCTTCCTCCGATCCTTCCCGAACTGGCGACGGCGGCCTAGGTGGAGCGACGTAGACGACCCTCAATTTACACTCTTCGACAAGATGCCCGGATTCCTTACTGAACTGGAAAGTAACAAAAACAAAAACAAAAAATCCAGTTACACAATTCACACCAATTTGCTAAATTATTAACTAAAAATAACTTTCGAAAACTCCAAAAGAAGAACAATTAGTGGTTATCTAATTACCATTTCTGGTGTGACATCTTTTGCTGTAGCGACCGCGCTCGCTTCCACGCTCTGAAGCAAGAACTTGTCCTTGCATTGCATATCTGATGGCGCCTCTTTTTGTGCTTGCATTGTTACTGAAAAAAAAAAAAACAATTTAATTTACATTAAAAAATCACTTAATCAAAATAAAGAAAAACATAATTAATACAGTATTAGTAATTAAAGGGGGAAAAAACAATAATTGAGCAGAAAAATTGTGTCTTTACCAATAACATCGCAGGTAGACCTAGGCAAAACAACTCCAGTGTTGGGTCTAACACAATACTTCTTTGGATTTGTAGTCTTTACCTAAAAAACCCATTTCAATTTACCAGACAGAAATAAAGGTTACAAACATTTGCGGGACAAGCGGAAATTAACGAAAGCCAAAATCAAAGCACATAGAAATTATCAAAAAAAGAAACAAAATTGGGGGAAAAACGAGAATTGCAGATTAGTACCTTGAAAGCCACATATTTATCGGTCTTGTTCAAGAGCTGGAGAGAGCACGAGATCTGCTTCCGCAATTCAACTTTTTTTCCCGGAAAAAGAGAACAAATCAGAAACACGAGGAATATCGAAAACAAAAACACGGATCTGAAAGCAAAAACGAAAAAGCTTGGGAAATTGAAATCTGGGAAACTTACAGGGGAATTGGAGCTCCTGGGGCTCGATATTGAGAAGCTCGCCGGTGCTCATTTCTAAGACGCGATCGGCGAGAGACCGCCGAGGAAGAAGAAGAAGAAGGGCAGTTTCCGGTGGAAAAAGGCGGTAAGCCGGTGATTGATACGGGTTTGAGAGTAGCTTGCGAACTCAAGAGGAGAGAGAAAGAGAGAAACAAAAGCAACAACGTGGGACAGTGGTTCCCTTGTCTCTCCTTGACCTCGAGTTGCGGTTTCTCTCTGGTTTTTGCTTTTGCGGTTCGTCCGTTGTCGGGGGTGGTTTTGCCATTTCAGACTAATAGGATATTTGATTGGAGTATTTAAATCATGTGATTCGAACCATTTTTAATTTATGTGTATTTTTTATAAAAAAAAATACTGTAACGAATTACGAATTATTATTTAAATTATTTTTTGAATTTAAAAAATAATGTTTTTTTTACGTTGCAAAAAATATGCTGCCCTTTTATTCTTAAAAAAAAATAAGTAGCACAAATAGTCTAATTTATTTAATAAGTGAGTTTAATTTTTGACCCCATTCATTTCACCGATTTGAGTTTTGTTAGAGTAAAAAACTATTAAAAACAATCACATCTAACTTTTTTATTACAGTAAAAAAACTCTAATATAAAGTCACATCTCAACTCGAATTAAAAACTTGAATTAGTAAATTAAGGCACCGTTCATTTCGCTGATTCGAGTTTTGCTACAGTAAAAAGCTCTCACAAACAATCACATCTAACTTTTTTACTACAGTAAAAGCTCTCACATAAAATTACATCTCAACTCAAATTAAAAACTCGAATCAGCGAACTAAACGGGCCCTAAACTAGTCTTTTTTTCTTATTTTGACAAAACAATCCTTAAAATTTTTAAAATAGTGCAATTAAGGACTTGTTCGAAAAACTAAAAAAAATGCAACTCGAGTTACAATTTTATTTGAGTTTATGTTCTTTTAAGTTTAAACTCGAGTTCAAACTCGAGTTTAGGACTAAAACTCAAGTTTTTTCCCTTCAACTCGAGTTCAAAAACTAGAACTCAAATTAATAAATAGTATTTTTTTTATTATTAAAAATGCTATAACTTTTTTATTTTAATTCTGATTGAGATGATTTTTTTTCTATGCGTTGACAACGAAAAGACGAATAAAACCCGATCTATATTCCTTATTAAAATTTTTCTTCAACATTGAGTTTTTATTAAAATACTATCTAAATACAAATTCAAATTTTAACTCATTTAAATACAAACTCAAAAAGATTTTTATCTCAAACTATAACTCAAATATACACAACTAAACACAAATTTAAGTTATAAATTTAACTCAAATTATAAATTAAATTTAACTTAAAAATTATATTCAAATTAAACTCTAAAGGAATAAGTCTTCGTTTGTGTTAAAGTCTGTTAAGTTTTTAGAGAATGTCTCAAGTACAAATCATGTTATATAACATAAAAGGGTATTTTAGTAAAATAAGAATAATGGATGATGTAACAAAAATTAAAATTAAAAAACACACATCATCATTACACTCTTGGAGGGTAACTTTTTGTTTCCCGTCAAATTAATAAAAAAAAAAGAAACAAATAAAAAGGTGAAAAAAACTCCAAACCCAGATAATAAAAAAAAAAAACTAAACCCAGATGAATCAAACAAAAAACTCATATGGCTACCGCCTTTTCTCTCTGAGAGGGAAAAAAAAAAAAATATATATATATATATATATATATTTGCTGCTCTTCAAGCCCAGATCAAAAAACTCCAAACAATCAGATCAAACAAAGAACTTTTTTTTCTCTCCGAGAGCAATATATATATATATATATATATAGATATATTTGCTGCTCTTCAAGCCCAGATCAAAAAACTTTAAACAATCAGATCAAACAAAGAATTTTTTTTCTCTCCGAGAGAGCAAAATAAATATATATATATATATATTTGCTGCTCTTCAAGCCCAGATAAAAAAACTCCAAACAATCAGATCAAACAAAGAACTTTTTTTTTCTCTCCGAGAGCAAAATATATATATATATATATATATATCTCTGCGTGTAAACTTAAAAACTGGAGGAGGGGATTGCTTCAACTTGACCACATATTTGTTGCTCTTATTCTCACTAAGCGGTCATTCTTCCTTCTTACATTGAGAAGGAAACTCTAATCTCATTTGCTTTGGCATGTTGATTTAGATCTGAACAGTATAAGCAGATAGTCGTTCCCATTGCGAGATCTCCTGCCCATGTCGCCAGATCGAGCCCCTCTCCACTGCCACAAAATCTAGCCGCCTCAGCCATTCCCCCATTCCGCCGTCCAACCCAAGACCTTTACTAATCAGATCTAGCCAATCTTCTTCTTCTTGCTTACAGACTTTTAGTCTTGTTTTGTTTTGCTTTGTTTTCTCTTTCATCAGTTTTGGTTTCACCCAATTTCCCATTCCTCAGAACCCCTTTCTTTTTGCTAAAACATTTGGGAATCTGATGAAGTTCAACCAAGTAAAGAAGAGAGTAATTATTTAGCAAAATAAATAAATAAATAAATAAATGAAGCAGAGTAATTCGTGGGTTTAATCCATTTGAGGACAAGTCTTTTCACCGTAAAAGCATGTCAGGTGGGAGGCTACACGGCTTTTTCCGTGATTAATTTGACGGATCGGGACAAAAATGATTTAATTGTACTATTTTAAGAACGTTGAGAATTATTTTATCAAAATTAAAAAAAAGGAAAAGACTAAACATTTGATAAATAGATAATAGATTAAGAATCATTTGTGTTAATTACTAAAAATATATATATGTTGCATTTTTTTAGGAGGGAAAATTTATATATATATATATATATTAGTTGATATGGCACGTGAAGAGTAATATGTGTGTTAAATTTTAATTATCGTGTTATTATTAAAAACATATGAAATTTAAATATAAAATTAAAAAAATCAAAATTAAAAAAAATTGGGCAAGAAGTTAAAAAAAGGATCAAAAAATGACTACAATAAATAAATAAATAAATTTTATAGTAAAAAAGGCAAACAAAAAAAATTAAATTTAAGCATACATATAAAGAAAGGGTAAAAAATGACTAAAATAAAAAAATAAATAAGTTTTAAAGTGAAAAGAATCAAAATAAAAAAAGGAGTCAAAAGATGACCAAAATTAAGAAATAAATTAATTTTAGGATAAACGAAACAAAAACAATAAAAGTCAAAAAAGACAAATAAAAAAAATTAAGTTTTAGGGTGAAAAACAAAAAACAAGTAAAATGGAAGGCTTGAGAAAAAAAAGAAATGATCCATTAAAAAAAAAGAAATCATTAGAACTTTCACACTTCTAAAAAAAAAAAATGCATCAAGTTAATATATGATTTTATGTGAGAATTTTTTACTATAGTAAAAATGTTAGATGTAATTATTTTTGAGAGTTTTTTACTGTAGCAAACTTAAATTCTAAACTCGAATCGGTGAAATAAACGGAACTTAAAAGTACAATTTTCACACTTCTAATATAAATATAGATATTACCACAGGGTATTAAAATAAAATTTCTCTTGAGGAAAGGAGGGGGAACAACGACAAGAACATTGAGTAACGACAAAGAAACTAAACCCAAACATCAAATATGAAACAAAACAAAAATGACAATCAAGAGGATAAATCAACGAACAAAGAAAAAAAAAAAAAAAAAAAAGACTCCATAAGAAACAAACGATTAGAATTGGAGAAAATGCAAATGGTCTATGAAACAGTGAATAGAAGATGATAAAAGTTAAAGGAAATGAGAAACAATCACAAAGTAAACGAGAACCAAACAGGAACTAAAAACGATCTTAAAAGAACAAGCGACAAGATTGAAGAAAACGACCATAACACTGAATAGTGACAACTAAAGTTAAAGGATAACAAAGACAGTTACCCTCATTGAAAATTAAAATTAAACGTCACAACAAAAGCGAAGCACCAACATATGAAACACGGCACGGCAAGGAATAAAGGACAGAAAATAGACAAAATGAGGAAAAAAAAAAAAAAAAAAAAACCTTACAGCAGATGGAAAAACGACACCAAAAGAATAAACTGCAAAACGGAGAAAGCGACAATAAAAGGTATGAAAGCATGGAAACTGAAAAACGACAATCACTTCAATGAAGGTGGAGTTTGATATTATGGATCATATTGAGCCATTTGATTTTAGCATATGTTTAAGCAATGTTAACGAGATGGTTCGTTGATTCTCTCAAGTACAGCCTGAATTTGATTTTCAGGAAACGGGGTCCGCGGTCAAAGTTACGGAGCTGATAATTGCTGCAGTCGCCATATGAAGTTCTGACTTAAAAAAGGTATGGACCATATTACTATTAGCTGAAGCAATCACATATGAGTCAAACTGCATTCTTGAGAATCCATGATGCCAAGAACAAGTTCGCTTCACCATTTGAGAGCAAATTATTGGAATTTCTATTTACTTGGTCAAACCGATATGTCCCTACAATGTCATGACATTCCTTTTATTAACAAATACCTTTTGGCCACTCATTACCAATTAGTCCCAACAAGAGTAAGAGTTCAGAACTTCACAAGTAATGCATAAAATGTTTCATGTGTTAAAAATTCGAAATCCTTTTTGGTGTACTGTTGGGAGGTGTATTAAATAATTTCATGTGAACAAGGTGACGATTTGGGTGATCAAACCACCTATTTTCTTCACGCATGTTACACCGTTGTACAGGTATAAACAAAGAGAAACATCCAAACCAAGAACCATATCAAGTAGTGTAAAGAAAAATTTTAAAAAGAAGAAGCAAATATTACTGATCCTCAGCAGAAGAAGAAGCAGCCTGCTGTTGACGAGCTGCTCGAGCAGCAAAGCCTGCAAACCAAGCGACCCTCATCAACTGCATGCCAAGAATCAGAACCCACCAGGAGACAAGACCTCTAATTGTATGCATCATCCACGCAGGTGCACTGAGCTCAGCTCCAAGCTTCAAGCCCCTCATGAGCTGCAACAAGCGGTAAGCCTCGTATACAACAGGGGTCACAAGCCAAACCGGGGACTGCCAATGCCACGTCAAAATCTCGGTCAGCATCTGAATCGAAAGCAGCAAAACATAGGGAGCCAATAAGACTGCAGAAGTGATGAAAGTTTGCTGGGGTTGGAGGAAGCCCTTATGTGAGCCGAACAACATCATCAAAGGGATGGCAAAACCAGTTAAAGTGGCAAGAATGTTCCAGAACTTGTAACTGAATGGAGGCTTGCTGTAGCTAGATTGCGTTGAGAGCTTCGGACGAGCGCATGAATCAGCCATGAGAAGGAAAAGGGTTGCACCGATATTGAATATACAGTCGAGTCCAATCAAGGATAGTAGGCTGGCTATGTTGGGGCCAAGGAATATGGAAGATATTGGCAGCCACAAGGTTGGCACCATGCCTGTGATGAGGAGAACCGAAGGGCCTAGAAGCCACATCGGCCATTTGAGGAACTGAAGCCCCGCGGTTCGCTGATTACTCGTGATCATAAACTTCTCATTGCTAGTTTCAAGTGTTTCTTCACTGTTTTCAGAGCTAAGAGTTTCGATAATGTTGGCGGTTTTCTTCAGCAAGTTATCTCCTGTACTTTCAGTTGGAGCATGTGTAGGAGAAGAAGTCTCCCAAAGGGTCAATTTGGAGCAGCAAATAGGAGAATGTCTTGTGCGAAAATTGGAGGATGTGAGTACATGGAAGGCCTTTGAAGCTTTTAAGTTCAAGCTTCTTCTGGGGCAGATCCTTGGAAGAGTTATGGAGGATGTAAATGAAGATGGAGCTAGTAATCCCATTGCTTGATTCATAGTTGAAACACCCTGGCAAGACTAGGAAACCCACTTCTTTTTATTGTCTAAACATCCTGAAAAGTAAAAAGAATCAGAAGATAAAAGCATATTAAACATGTTATAGGAAGGAAAAAAAGGGTCTATTTATTCATTTTCCAAGTTTTCTGACTTTCAATGAGTAGATAATAAGAATGATGTTTTTAGCTTTCTTAACGAAGAGTTCAAAAAGATACGGGGCATGTTTATTTCACAACTCAAATTGAGATATGTGAGAGAAAAACACACTAACAAAAAAGCTAAATTTAAATTTTTTGAGAGAAAATAGCAAAAAGCACAACTTAAGCCAACCCTAGAAATTATAAGAAAGTTGCCACATCCAGCATTTTTCTGGTTTGAGCGACAATGTCGTTTAAGAAAGGGTGTCGTTTGATAAATAATGTCAGATTAAAAAAACCGATCTTGTTGGATGGAATTGATCTGGTATAAAAATTAAAATATGTCGTATGTTTGCCAAAAAAAAAAAAAAAAAAAAAAAAAAAAAAAAACAATGTCGTTTCATAGATTTGATATCGTTTGAAAAAGAGATGCAAGATTTTTGTCGTGTCACATGGAGCACCGATGCCTCAAAATTATGATTGTATACCGCAAAAGAAGTCCTATAAATGCAGAAGAATACGCACTACAGTCAATAATGTGGTAACGCCACTATCAAAGAAAGATGTCGTATGACAAAAAAGGATGTCGTATGACGAAAAAGGATGTCGTTTTTCAGAATATGTCGTCGAAGAAAAATAGGTAGTGCGATGCCATACGATAAATTTTCTTCAATGTCGTCTGTATGCTCTATGAAAGCATACGACAGTAAACAAAAAATTCTCAAAAATAAAAATAAATCCAGATTCCTTGAAAAAAGTACCTGATCCTCACACCGGCAGATTTCGAAACCTCGTCGGCAAAGATTTTGCACTCGATTTCGCCCAGAATTTGTGTACAACGTTACTGAATAGAAAAAATTCGAAATTTTTCAAGAACAAAGATAGAAAAAGCCAGAAAGCTTCAACTTTTTCCTGCCTCTGAACCTGCGAGAGCGATTCAAAGGACGAAAACACAAGTTAAGATTATCAGAATTGAAAAACAATTAACTATGGAGACGAAACTGAAAGAGAATCAAAATTATGGCCTGAAATTGTAACTTTACCTTTTCTATCTATCTAAGCCAAAGATCAATTCCGGTTCTGATGAATGGCCCAAACCAAATCGACGTATCAGCTGATTAATTCTGATTTTTATTTTTCTGCAGGTGTTAATTCTGAAAAATCATCAATATTTCATCGAAGAAATAACATAAAATAAATTAGCATATAAAACTTCAACAGCCTTAAATGGGCTAGGCCTGTTTATTATTGGGCAAGGCTTTCAATTGGGCTTTTGTTTGGACCCAAGTCAACATCTTGAACTTTTGGGCGGAAATAGTAGAAAATAGCCCAATATGAAAAGGTTAAAAAAGTATATAAGCCGACTTTTAGTTATATAAATTAATAGGTCATAATTTGTCAAGTTATGGTTTATAACTAAATAAGTTATAGATAAACTTGTCAAGTTATGGTTCATAGCCAGACAAGTTATGGACAAAAATCGTGATTTATGGACAATAACTTGTCAAGTTATGGTTTATAACCAGACAAGTTATGAACAAAAACAGTAATTTGGCCTATTTATTAACTTATGTAAACTATTAACCTATTAATTTTAATTCATTTCAAGTCTTGGTCTATTTCTTTCTTTCTCCCAACTTTCGGGCGCACATAGTGCGTTCCAAAATAATTTTATTTTGTATATGAAAATGAAAATGGAAACATTTTCAATTTCATGCACGAATTATTTTTAAAAATGTGCTTAGTAATTTTTTAGTATAAGAAAAATCTCAAACTCCGTTTAATTTTATATTTTTAAAAACATGTAATATTACTTTAAATAATATATCAGTTAATTAATTAATAAACTCCCTAATCAATACACTAATAATTAATATACCATACCAATAATTATAAAAAATTACTTAGTGAATCATCCTAGTCTATATTACCGCCTTATATATCAATCTCACATTTCTTCATAATTTGACATATTATTCTTATATTAAATAGAGAAACACCAAAAAAAGAATCAAATACGATTGGCTTTTGATTTCTAAAAAATAAAAAAGAAGCGCAAAAATTCAATTACAATCATCTTTTAAATATACTGAGATATACAAAGTTAGATGAGTGAGTGGAGCTCATCTTGCATCTTCATTACATCTCTCACCTGCACCTTACGTCACATATTGCAACATGGGAATAAGACTAGAAAAAATGACAATGGAAAAGGAAAATGATTACAAATCGTTTTCAGAATTTCTGAAATTTTGAGGGAAAGAAGAAAATATTTTCATTTTTGTTTTTCGTACTATGTAGTGCCAAACACAGTTTTCATTTTCAGAGCATTTTCATTTTTTCTCATGAAAACGTGAAAAATATTTTTGAAATGGGTTCTAAACAAGCACTTCATTTTTCATTTTTCCCCTAATCTTTTTCCTATTTTCCGTCACGCATTCCATCAATCCATAAATACGCACTTCCAGAAAAAAAAAAAACCCATAAGTACGTACATTTTCTCAGATAATTATACATTTTCGACTATCTAATCATTCGGTTTACTAATTCAAGTTTTTAATTCGAGTTAAGATGTGATGTTGTGTGAGAGCTTTTTACTATAGCAAAAAGTTAGATGTGACTGTTTCTGAGAGCTTTTTACTGTAGCAAAACTCGAATCTGCGAAAAGAACGGGGTATATAGATCTCGATTTTTTGAGCAAGGACTATATCTTAATTTTAACCTTGTATTTGCACCTAATAAACTACCAAAACATCATGTTCCCATTTGATTCTAATCGTTGCATTTTTCAATTCTTTATGACATTTATAACTTTGATGATCCATATCATGATAGCCCCCAAAAGGGTAATCACTCAGATGAACTTTTTGTTAAAAACTCATATTAATGCTCAACTAGGGAAGGTTAAAGGTGGTGCTCCGACCTCTCTTTCACGTCTTTCCAATATAGGACATGATTTTCTCAATAATTCTCACGATAAATCCACTAACATACGTCATTCCACCAAATAATGATATAATTGCTCACGGTAGAAATATAATAAGTTTTAAAACGGTTTATTCGAGTTTTTATGATCAAAATCACGGTTAAAAAGTAATTTAAAAGCAATAACACACAAGAATTATAGTAGTTCACCATTGATTCAAGAGCTACGTCCACTATAAGGAGGAGATAGTTCACTATTTTTCAGAGAGAATTTACACTCTAATTGCTCTGAATGAGATTTAGAGATCTTTTGACCTACAATCCCTTATTTATATCGTTGATCATCATCCCAGCTAGTTTTCCAATTTAATTTGGAGATATTTCCCTCATCTTTTAGGATAATTTCTCAAAAGATTGAGATTACAATCAATCATGATGATTTTATTACTTAAATTTCGTATGTTTGAATTACAAATAGCAAATCTCGCATCTCTCTCGACTTTCGTAGACTCGACTTCATAAGCACCCCCAAAACTATCGTCGCCTATAATTGTTGGTGTGGTTGACCTTATGTTGCCCTTTGCATCTCCTCAGAGCGGTCGACCTCCTATGGATGCCACACCCTTTACTAGCAGTCTGCTCCTAAAAGAGTTACTGTCTGACGTGACAGTTAAGGCTGAGCTGTTCTCGATCACTTAATGCTCTTATTTATGACACATGATCCCCATTCAATGCCTGATTTAAGATTTAAAATTTTACCCACAACAATAATATTGCTGATTATGGCTTGTGCATGAACCTCTTATTTTCCGCTTTGAAAAAAAAAAAGATAATTAGTACTTCATATTGTATACAATATGCTAATTATTTCTTTAGATTTTCAGTCATAACTCATTTGGATTGGACTACATTTACGTATATTCTTCTTAGAATAAAGCAAGATTCCATTTTGGAATGGTCAAAGCGTGATAATATATTTTTCTTAACTTGGTTGTTAAGTGTAATTTTGATGTTTTAACATTTTGCAATAGCATGTGTGATGGCAGAGAGATCACAATTCTAATTTCCTAGCAAAAAAGGGAAGAGAAGAACGGCAACAACAAAGACTACAATAATACAAATGATATCTCTTAGTTGACATCCCATTTCCTTAAGAGATAAAAGATACCGTGGAAAACTAGAAAATAAAATTTAAATTACTAAAAAAAAAAATTACCCTAATGAAATGCTAAGCAATAAGATGGTAAAAGGGAAAATGATGAAAAGTTAATTCCTTTTGTCATTTAGCGCTGAAGAAGAGCATATTCTTCAACTTTTATACCCGTATAGAGCATTGGAAAATCTTTATCATAATGGAGGGCCCAAAGTAGAAATACCAATATCATTTTTTATCCTAATTAAGTAGTAGTGGGGTGTAAAAAGAATTTTGTGGAAAAAAACCCTAACCACGAGCTTGCCATCATATGATGAAGAAAATTTGGTGATTAATTAATTAGCATTTTGTAGATGCAAAAGTTTTCAGGTCAAAATATAATCCGTCAAAAAGCGGGAAAAAAGCGTTGGAAATTCTATGTTTTAGCTCCATAAAGAAATAGGAGAAGAAAATTATAGTATAATTAATTGAACATTAATGTACACGAGCAACTATATATTACTTTTGAGCACTAGTTGAGTCTAGTATATATATATCATTTTCATCTTTTCTTCAGTTGTAGTCAAAAGAGAAGCTACTTGTAGTTTGAGTCTTCAGTCGTCCAATTTCTAAGAAACTTCAGAACAAATGGCAATTCGGAGAAGGAAAGACTTCTCCACTAGAAGTCTAGTCCACTGATAAGATGCGGAAATATTAGTGTGTGTATATATATATTATCACATATATGTGTTTCTAGAGGACTCGACTATATCTTGTAAATACACATATAATACAAATTGAGCTCGACTTTGATATAAAGAAAAGGCATGATGTTAAATGCCTTATATTCGTTCCCTTAGAAAAAAATAAAAAAAAAGTTCCTTGGATTAGCGAAAATGATACATAACATAGAATTTGTTGCACATTAATTAGATTCTAAGGTGAGATTGTATGCTGCTCATTAGATCATACAAGGTTTTAAATTTGGAGATAAAACTATTAGCACATATTGCCCTTATATATAATTATAGAATCGTTGGTCCTAACTCCTAAGGGGCGCTGTTGTACTCTCCGACTCGATATATATATATATATATATATATATATATATATATATACGCTATAACGATCCCATTTGTAATATTTATTCCGTATTTAGAAGATGGTACACACTATAACATGTGCTTTTCTTTTTTTCTTTAATGAGAATTAAGTATGAGCCTTTTCTTTTTTTTTTTTTTTTTGGTCTTTACTATAATATGATGTACCACCACGTTTGCATACCATTTCTCAAAAAGAATAATAATATTTATTCCATTAGGATAAAACCACCACAACTAATCTTGTATTTTGGAGTTTGAAGAGAGATTAGCTGAAAATTTGAAGAAGACGAAGAATTAGACGTATACAGGATTAGGCTTTCATTTTAAAGTTTAACCTGTTAAGTGGGGTGATCCAATACCATTATATGCATATGTAATTATGTTTATATTTAGACGATTGAGACTCAAATATTTTACTCTTAATAAGTTTTATTAGGTTGTGTTGCATCTATCTATCTAATCATAGTCACTATATGTGAGTAGCGAGATTTTAACCCTATCAAGATAAAAATAGGCGCTCTTTCAATACATATATATATATATATTATATATATATATGCTGTCGTACAGATTAATGAGTTAAAAAAAGACGGCGTGATCGGTTATTCGTGGATGGGTCAATATTGACATGATGATCGATATTGATATAAATTAAGCTCTTGCAGTAGTAGCTAGAGTAGTAGTAGTGGTATCAGCTGCCTCATGGAGACTAGCGAGCACAACAGCAGCAGCAGTAGTAGTAATATTTCAGTAGGTTTTCTAGTTGGGAGACGTACTTATAATAGCAGTATTAATAGTTATGCCGCAAGATCGGAGCGCAAGATCAGTTTTATGAAACCAAAGAAACACAGGTAACCACATATATATACATACATACATATATATATATATATATATATCCTCATGATTATCTCTTTATAATGAAATCCCAACAATATTTATCATATATACTTCTCGTTTAACTCTCTATGGCTCCCCCAAATATTAGTATAT